CAACTCGACAGGGTACTTCATGTGCTCGGCCTGCATCTGCTTGTAGCTGTCAATCAGAGCACGCGCACGCTGCTCGATCAGATCAGCCTCTGAGCGGCGCACATGCGACTCCTTCGCAAGCGAAGTCTTCTCAGTCGCGCACAAAGCACTCTCCTCACTGTCCATGCGCTCCATGAAAGCGTTGATCGAGTCGATCTCACCCTCAAGCTGCGACGAAGCGTGCTGCAAGCTCTCCTCCTCCTCCAAAAGACGGTTCGTCAGCATCTCAAACGCCTCAGCCAGCTGTTGCAGGAGACTACGGATTTGCGACGTCATCATCATGTCCTCGTCCTTCTCCTGCGGCTTCGAGACGCTGTACACGTCCTCAACCTGGGCCCAGATCTCGCGCTTCTCCACCTTCTCGCTTGCGTAATCGCGACTCATAGCAAGCTCCTTCACCACGCTCTTGATGTCAGATTCATCGTCCTTCTGCAGACGTGAAGACTCCTTCAAATCTTCACTGCGCTCGTTGCGACCGGCTTCAAGGATCTTCATATCCTTCTTACCAAGGTCGGCGGCATGGCCGGTTACATATTGGTACCAGTTGTCGGAGGACTTCAGCATCTCTACCTTGTGCTCACCGTTCAGAATGCGCTGCTTCTGACGCATGATACGTTCCTCCTGATCGATCACACGGTGAGTAAAGTGCTGCACCAGCTTCTGTAGGTCGGCAGCACGAACAGCTTGCTTCACAAGGCGGTTCGCCTCAACCTTCTTGCGGTTCGAATGTTCATGCAAGGAGTCCAGCACCCAATTGCCAGCGTTGTTCATCAACTCAGTAATTTGGCGCTTCTTCTCCTCGCGCTTGGCTTCCTCGTCCGCCAAAAGTTTCGTCTCCGTTTCTATCAGCTTGTCAAACTGGTCGATCATTTTCTCTTCTTGCGTGGCGTTCTTCACCTCCTCCTCCAGGCTCTTGATGTGCTGGTTCATGCGCTCCAACAAAGACGCGCAAAGCTTGTTTTCAGTCTCAAGCTGAACAGCCTGGTCATCCAACTCTTTCTGGAACTGCGCGCGGCGGCGGCGGACGTCGTTCATAAACTCGTCACGCTCGTCCACCTCGACATCGCCACCCTCCTGCGGGATGCGCTTATTGCTGTCCTTCACAGCGTGTAGCTCGCTCGCACGAACCTTCATGTCGGCCTCAAGACGAGCAACGTACTCGGGCGTGATGACCAGAGCATTGCGGGCTTCATCCAGAGTGTTTTTACAATCCTCACAGTGCTCATCAAACAGCATGCAGTCTGCCTTGCGCTCCTCAGTGAGAGCGGCGCGCTTGAACAGCAGCATACGCTGCGACTTGATCTGGCGGGCCAGCTGGTCACTGAAAACATCCGTCCGCTTCGTGCCACGAGTAATACGTGCAGTGTGCTCATCCAGACGGAGCTTGGTGGTGTTAATGCGCTGAGTTTGCACGACGCGCCACTCCTGCTCGTACTCTTCATCGAGAGCTTGGTGGCGCGAGCGGCGCTGAGCAATTGAGCGTGTGCGGGCATTGATCTCCGTCTTGAGTGCCAGAAGGTCAGCCTCAATCGTTTTCACCTTCTTCTGCCGAGCCTCAGCCTCCAGACGCACGTACTCGTGCTCCTGTTTGTAGCGAGTGTCCTCATCCCGACACATTTCGTCTTCACGCTTCATGTTCGCACGGCTGCTCGTCCAGTGCTCACGTTCCTTGGCAAGCTTCATCCACTCCCCATCGACGAGATTCCCTTCTTCCTCCAAGAGCTCCGGTTCCTTCTCCTGAATCTTGACAAACTGCGTGTGCAGGTCAACAAGCTCGCGTGGCACCTTGTTCTTTTGGTCCTGCGACGAGTGGAAAATACCGTACGAATGCACGATAAAGTCGTTGGCAATATCCTTCGACACAGCGGGGTTGTGAGCCTCCGACCAGTCAGCACGGTGCTTCGACCACTGAGCCATGTCGTTGTTCCATTGTGTCGTGTCTTGCTGGAAGCTGTCCTTCGATTTTGTAAATTCAACCTTCTCCTTAATGCGAGTCTCCTCCTCGCTATTACGCACCGACTGATCACGCACAACGTCAAAGAACAGAATGTGCGTGGTGCTCGACTGCTTCTCATAGCGCTCTTTTTCGCGCTCCATACGCTCAGTCTGAGATTCCTTACGAGCCTCAAGAGCCTTGAAACGGAAGGCAGCCTGCTCACGACGGATATTCTGAGCGGCTTCACGCTTTTTTTGCTCCTCCGCACGGGCAGCCTGCTGCGCGAGACGCATCTTTTGCTTCTTCTGACGGTCGATCAAGGCGTTCACCTTGGTACGAATCTGAGCCTTTTCCAGCTCCAGGCGTAGAGACTTGATCAGCGTATTGTATTCGTCCGTGTTGTACAACGACTTCTTGCCGCTCTTCTGGAACTGACGCAGCTGCTCCGTTGGTAGCGCCAAGAAAGCCTTCAGGCAGTCCGCATCACGCAAAAGCGGGTGGAGCATGCAACCATACAAGAAAGTCTGCAGCATCTTCTCGCGGTCATTACGCGCTGTTCGCTTGTCTGGAAAGTTCGGCAAGGCTTTTGGATTTGAAAAGTCTCCAAGCTTTACGAATAGCCACTCAAAATCAGCCATGCTGCGCTCTTCCAAGATCTGATACTCGTGCGTGACTGCTCGGTCCGACTCGGTCACCGTGTAATTCGCAGCGCGAGCTGCAGCTTCATTTGGCTCACAGTACGTCTTCAACATGTACGTCTCCGTGTCCGGCGTGTTCCCATTCGACTTGGCAGCAATGTCCACTAAAATGTCGAGCTTCGTCAAGTACTCAAAGCCAGCGGGTGGTTTCGACACCGGATCCATCACGGGCTTGATGAACTTGGGCGGGTTCTCATTACACGACGTACAATGCCGCACGGGTACAGGGAACCCGAGCTCCGGAATCGGCTTGGACTCGACACTACACTGCGTACAGACGCTCCTCGTACAGCGCCGACAGTGGTGCTGCCGTCGTCCGAGCTTGAACGGGCGGAAACACACCTGACACTCGGTTTGGTCGCTCCGTGCCGTGTCCGAGACAAAGTGACTCGTGGCGTCGTTACTCAAGACACTCGACTCGCGCGAGCGTCCCGACTCGTCGCGACTCCGGGCGTTCGGGTCCTGCAAGTTCCGGTACGCGTCATTGATCTTCTCGAGCGTCTCTTGGTCCTCCACCTTGGTCGGGTCCATCAGTCTCGACTTCTTCTTGTACTGCGCGGCAATTTCCTCCGGCGTCGCGTCCTTGGACACGCCAAGCACGTCGTAACTCTCTTGGCCGGACGTGGGCCGCGTCACGGGTCCACGACGCTGGGCGAACACGTCTGCAGGAGTCGTAATGGCCTTCATCTGCAACGCCGTGATGCAATTGCGACAGCAGCGCTGCTGCGCGTTGCCGTAGCCAAAGGACGCCGGCACTTGGATCTTGTGGTTCACACAGGGCCGACAGAAGAGCAGCCCGCAGACGCGGCAATGGTGGCGACGGGGTTTCGGGAACCCGAACGTCGCTTTGCAGTCCATGCACTCGTTGCTGAAGTTGTCGGGCACCCAAAGCTTCTCGAGGCCGGCGACGTCGGACGGGACGCCGTCCAGCGACCCGCGGCCGCTGTGTTCGTTCATCCGGCCTTCGCTGGGGGCGCGCGAGGCCATGGACGACGACGACGACTGGGCGGCCGGCAGCGGTCGACGCTGAGAGGCCGACAGCGACACGGACGGAGGCATGGGCGATGCGTGTACGGCGGTCGCGTTCGTGCTGGACGAGGCCATGGAGGGGGCGCTGCTGGGCAGGGGACGACTGACGGTCACGGCAGGGGTCGGCGTTGGTCTTGGCTCAGGGTCCGGTTTTTTAGCTGCGGTTGGAACCGGAGCAGGCGCTGGAACGGTCGGTTTAGGAGGCACCACAGCTGCGGGTTTCGGCTCGGGCGCTTTGGTGGCTGGAGCGGGAGCGGGAGCTGGAGCTGGCAGAGGTGGAGGCGACGTTGCGGCTGGAGCGGCGGTGTCGGCGGCCGGAGTCGGGGCGGCTGGCAGCTTGCGCTGCGAGAGGGAGAAACTGACTTTGGTGCCGCAGTAGATGCAAAAGGCGTCGGCTTCCGACACGTCGCGGCCGCACTTGACGCACGCGAGGTCGATGGTAGCGGTAGCTGGAGCTGCCGCTTTCTCGGAACTTCCTGCCATCTACACTCGAGTCAGTCAGTCGGTCGGGCGCTGGGTGGCGAGAGACTGACGGGAGCGCGAGATTCAGCAAGTGGAGTTGTGAGAAAGCCACGACAGGAGGGGGAGGGAGGGAGGAGACGAAGGGAGGAAGGAGGGGAGAGGGGAGGGACGGACGGACGGACGATCCTACTGTCTCTATGTGGTTCGCTTTGCTCTGCTTTGGTTACTGCGGGCTCGGGTGCGAGAGAGAGGTCGAGCGACGGAGCGACCGAGCGACGACAATGATGTGAGGGTAGACGGCCTGCCTGCTGTTGAGGCGCAGCTCACTCACGCACGCACGTACGTTGGCAGATCGTCACGTTGTCGAGGCATCTGTTGTTGTTGTTGTTGTTGTTGTCATGTCCGTCTATTAACATATGATTATGCTAAAGATGTCTGAAAACTTCTAAGCCAGGACAATAGCTCCGGAACTGGTAGCTTGTCGTGGCTGTCACCTAAAGGTATCGGCTTATCCCGAGGTTCGAGAATAAAGAGGTCGATACAGGTATGCATGATAGCCCCGGTGACAGCTGTGGCGGGACCGCGATGTTCGCGTTTTGCTAACGCGGTAAGATGTCGAATTCCCAGCGCCCAAAAACGCGCGGCGCTGTGGAGAGGCGTCGACTGCACTCCTCGAAAAACCGCGTCGTTCCGCTCATTCCATAAGTGAGTCAGACAAATGCTGCTCATAATAAACCAGAGACGCTTCCAAACCGCGACACCAGCCTCTAAGTCCTCCGGGAGCATATGGTAAATCCGAAGACGCTGCTTGGACGGTATCTCCGGCGCGTGACGATTCACACTCCCGACGAACCAACGCTCTTCCCACGGCCTCCCAGCCCGTTCACCTGTCCAATGGGTAATGAGTTGACCCCAGCACGCGCGCGCTTGGGGCAGTCCCAAAAGATGTGAGCCGGCGTTTCTTTGCAACCGTGACACGCCAATAACGCCCGGCAACTATTGTCCGCCGGACGGCCGGCATGGTACAAGTTGAGTTGCTTGGTGGCTATACGGTAACACGTCCAGACCTGATGGTCGGAAAGGCCATTGTCATGCTTCCAAACGTGTGCCGGGTCTTGGTTTGCGGCAGCCCGCTGCCACTGATCGAAGTCACAGACGGCCTCCAGACGCCGCACCAGCGGTCGCAATGCGACTGCAAGAAGTCTTTTGTGAAACGTGAACGCCAGGCGTGAAATAGCTTTTCGTATAGCTAAGTTCGCGACCGACTCGGCGACGGCCCAAGGAAAGCCATGATGCCCGGGATGGGAGTAAAACACGACGCCGTGACGACGCAAGCGTAGGGCCCAAACGGATCTGTCCTCGTCCGAATTAGTAGATAACTCTGGTAGGTGAGTGGTGAAAAACCAGCGAATTCCATCCGCACTCTGCTGCAGTTCAACAGGCTGGTCAGCGACTTCCAAGTACCCCTCTCGCCTCCCGACCACTCGACCTTGTTGGACCGAGGCCCAGGTCCATTCATGTCGAAAAGGTGGTGCATGGCGAAGAACCAGCTCAGGTTCGAGCGCTAATTCGCCCCCAATGGGGAACGTAGGGGATGCCAGCAAGATTGCCGTCGCCCACCGACGGAGTTTAGGCTGCGAGTGGTGAAAAGATCGGGGTCCAACCGGCTTAATGCGAAAAATAAATTCAGTTGGCCCTGTTCGCCGAATGTGCAGGTCCGAGATGGGGCAGATGGCGATCCTGTCATAGGTAGCGGATTTTAACGAGAGGCCATTGCCGTCCTGGATCCACGGGTTATTACTCCAGCCTAGTGTCCCCCAAAAGCGATGAATCGCACACTGTTGAGGATCGAGCGCAGGTAACCCAGCCGGGAAAGGGTGATGATACGACAGCACCCATTCCTCCTCCTCCCACCAGCTACTGGCGCCGTGGAGGGATGGGGTGGTAGTACGTTCGTACCCGCTCGCTGAGAATGGTGGCTTGCTCTACCGTAGGGTGTAGAAGCTTGTCAACGTCCGGTACCCATGAATTTGGGGACGGTGCCCCGACACACGATGCAGCCCCAGCTGCCTGCGTCCTGCAATGGAGAACCAGACTCGAATTTGTCGGCCGGCCTTGATAAGCCCACGCACTCCAGGCTCCAAAATACTTGTCCTGAGCTTGTGTGAGCCACTGTAAAGCGTGCTTGGTACGCTGCGTTTTAATAGCCACCTCCAAAGAGGCCAACCCAATCCCCCTGCCTTTTTGGGGGTGAAAAGTAGTCCCGGGGTTAATCTTGTGTCGGCTGGCTTCCGTTGAAGTCGCATGAGCCCATAAAAATTGTTTGTACAGGTTGTGGACAGCAAGTCGTGCCCACTCAGGCATATCGAACACCGCCGCCGTGAACAGAACAGACGGGAGAATGATGGAGTTGAGGATCAACACCCGATTCGCCACACTGGTCGCCACCCTGGAAGCTGTCATTAGCCTCCGTTGAAGCTTCCGGATACGAAGCGCCCAGTTGCAATTGTGTAAGGGTCTCAGTCCTACTTGATAGCCCAGGTATCGCACCGTGTCCGCATGTTGAAGGACCGGAATGCCCCGCATATCGGCTACGTGCACAGCCCGATTAAGACAAATGATCTGACTCTTGGAGGGTTGGGCAACTAGCCCTGATAGGGTCCCAAATTGAGAGAGAAGAGCTATCGCTGGCTCTAGCTGACTGGCCTTCTCGAGAAAGATCGTCGAGTCATCCACAAATGCCGAGAAAACGTGCGTTGCCGGATGTCGTCCAGGGACAGGAAGCCCAGACAAATCTGGTGATTGCTGTACCGCAACGCCCAATATCTCCACCACGACGAGAAAAAGCAAAGGGGCGAGTGGACAGCCTTGCCGGATACCGGAAACGACGGAGATGGGACGAGACTGTTCCCCATTTACAAGGAACGCGGCCGAAGTACCAGTATGTAGACGAGTTATAAGCTGAACATACCTTTCCGCGAAACCAAATTGGCGAAGAGCCTCATACAGGAATTCGCGATCGACCGTGTCATAAGCCTTGCGGAAATCCAGTAGGAGGATCACTCGGCTGTCGTCGGCGGATGTAGTTGTATCCGATGTTGCTGTCGCCAGTTGAGCGAGCATCATCAACACTAGTTTAGACATCTGGCGTCCGTGTACGAAGCCTTGCTGCGAGTCACCAATGACTTTTGGTAATACGCGTTGCAGTCGTGTTGCCAGCACTTTCGCAAAGATCTTGTAGCTGGTTTGGAGTAGAGAAATCGGTCTGTAATCCATCGCATCCGCCGAGTCTCCCTTTTTCGCAAGGGTATGATCAAAGCTTCGAGAAATGAAGGCGGGGGATCAGCTCCAGCCAAAATTTGATTGCTGAGCTGGACCAGGGCGGGGACAAGAAGTGCAGACGTATCCTTGTAAAAATCGTTGTTGAGCCCGTCCAGTCCCGCCGACTTATGTCGACTGAGCCCAGAAACGGCTGCAAGGACTTCCGCTTCCGAAAAATCAGCCAAGAGAGCCCGGTTGTCGGCAGAAGACAAGACTCGGTCTGTGGGTAGATTGACAAAACGGCGAATGGCTGACGGCAAGTCCACTCTCTCCTCCTGGCAATGAACTTTGCCAAGGACTGTAGACCATTCGGAGGCAAATTTATCCGCATTAGTCATATCCCGGGTAAAATGCGGGCCGTGGATGCGCGAAATTGTTGTGACTGTTTGATTGCGTTCCCAGTCGGCAACCCGCTTGTAAAAATAGCGCAACTGGTCAGCCGTCCTGGCGAGCTTCTGGCCCAGTCGCACCAGATGTTCCTGCCGTAATTCCTCCATATTGCAGGAGATAAATTGCGGCCGGGTCAGGAGAGGTCGCCGAGCTCTGCCCTGAATCTTCCGACGAAATCGCGCTCTGCGCTGTTTGACCCGCTTCCGGATGCGTCGAACGCACTGTTGACACTCTGTGACATCCGCGTCCCAAGTGAGGGTAGAAACGCTCTGACCTATAGCCCTTCCGTCCATTTCCGCGACGAGTTCGTCAACGATCCTGCCAGGGTTCGATGAATGAATCGGATATGTTACACGCCCATGCCGGCATGACGAACGAGGTTTGTTCAGGTCACGTAGGTGTAGCACAACCTCCTGATGGTCCGACTGATTGGATGGCACCCGCGCTTCCAATCCACAGCACGCGACCTACCCACCCCTCAGGCACATAGAAACGATCGATGCGACTGGCACGGTCCCCATTCCAGTAAGTGAAATGATCAGTAGGATCGCCAGTGCCCTCGTCATCCGCATGATCCCGAAGATCTCTCGCATCCGCCAAGCCCAGTGTCGCAACTGCCGCGTCCAGGGCAGGGCTTTCCGATCGGTGCGATCGGTAACTGCCGTACCGATCGAGGAGAGGGCACTGGACGCAGTTAAAGTCGCCCGCCATAATAGTGTTGGAGGCCATCAAATTCCAGCTGAGAAGGGAAGTAAAGAAGTCTTCCCGTTCACCTCGCAGTGTAGGTGCGTACACATTGATCAGAACATCCTCCCCAATGGAAATTGCGATCGCCCGGGGTGACCAGCGTTCCGGTTCCCAGGCCGAAGCTGTACGAGCAGAATGAGGGGGTAAGAAGAATGGCAACACCAGCACGGCTAGAAGAGCCAATACTCCAGAACGATAGAGGGAGGAGCGTCAGGATCCAAGTGTTGACCCCATAACTGAGCCCACCTGGAACTCCAGCCTACCCGCCTCTTCGTCAGTATGTACATGCGTCTCCTGAATACACCAAGCCTGCGGGCGACGGATCTGAGGCGCACTACGCCACGCCGACAACCACCCTTCCCGAGCGCTAGCCTTGAAGCCCCTCACGTTTTGAGAAATAAAGAGCCTGTCCCCACCCCCGAGAATCCAGTGGATCAACTGCTGAAGTCCAGGACGGAGACCAGTCGTGAAGTTTGCGATGCCGGCTGTAGGCGTCAGCTTCCTCAAAGAAAGGAACTTCGGGGCTGAAGACGAAATTCTGCTGTAAGCTGCCCTTAGTACTCGAGGAGGAACCTCTGCTCTGCCGGGGCCAAAGCAGTAGTAAAATAGCGAACGAGCGCAGTCCAGTCGATCGGAGCATCCCCGTCTGGGTAGTACGTATCCTTGTAGGTACTATTGGTCCGAAGTAAGCGAAAGTGGCAACGGAGTTGCTCGGGAGGGCGTACTGGCTTTCCGCCAGTCCCCGTCAGAGCAAAAATCTCGTTGTCGAACACGATGGCACACATGAGGTGGTGACTCATTCGGACGCGTCTGTGCGGGTCACACAATCGTAAAATGTCGTCCCCCGCATAGTTAATCCCTCGCAACTTTCTCCAATCGTCGGAATTGTCAATCAGAGGGGCCAGCAGAGACGGCGAAAGGCGCTGCTGCGATCGAGCAATCCATTGGTCGAGCCAAACACCCGTGGGTAGCTCTGTCACTCGCTGTCGGAATTCTAGGAGCCCGGATAATAAGCACTCCTGGCGCCACAGCGCCGTCCACTGTACAAAAACTGTGTCGGACAAGCTAGCAAGTACTTCGTCTGGAAAGACGAAGCGGCGCAAGTGATGTAGTAACAATTCCGGCTCCAAACGAGCCGTAGCCTCCCACCCGTTGGAGTCTCCATATACTAGAGGATACGGAGTTGCTGCTGACGGCGGCCATTCGGCTCCCAGATAACTCCAGAGCTCTGGCCATTCGTCCCGATCGATTCTGTCGTCCGGCGCGTCTAGTGAAGATTTCCGAAGGGCTGAACGAACCCGACCTTTCTTGTGGCGAGAGCCGATCGGAACGACAGCACCTGGATCCGCAGACGCCGCCAGGAGCGGGGGAGAGCCGCCGTGGCCCCGTTTCCGCGCCGCAGAGGCCATCCCGCGTTCGCGACAGCTGCTCGAAGTAGAAGTTAAAGCCAATTGACCAGAGGGTTGTGCCGAGGTTCGAGCGACCGCGTCTCCAGCGTCGTAAAGGACGATCGACGTCCGGTCACCGCTGTCAGGAAGGAGTTTGTCGTCTGAGGGCAGTGCTGAAGCGCTTTTCTCCTCCAATGGTACCAACGCTGTGGCTCTAGTGTCCCCGAAGGAGTGGACCGGATCCTGAGTCGACGCACTCGGCCCGTCCTGGGTATCGGTAAGGTTTAACGGATCGGCCACTCCCGCTGAATGGAGAAATGCCGAGTAGTGGCTGCCGCCAAACCGCAACACTAACGGTAGAGCCTGACTCGCCCCGACTTTGGTAGCCTGCAGCTCGTCGATACACGCCATAATAGAAAGGGGGTACTCTTTTACAGAAGCCACCGCCCGTCCCCGTACAGTCATCGAAACGGGGTGATACTTGCGGCAACGCCACTGAGGGGGTGGCTTCTTCGCGTTGAACGACAAAGATGTCTCTCTGTAAAAACGTGGCTGCCATGCCGAGTGTGTCACTGCCCCCCCCAACAGTCCGTAGGCACATGCGAAGTTCGCCCCGATGGGGTGGCCGCGAAGTCCGTCAAAAACCAGCGGAATTGAGAAGCCGACTCTGTGCGCGTCATCGACGCCCACCCACGGCCCACGTTCTTAAGTGCCTGCACCCGCAAGTCGTGAGGGACCTGATCTTCCAAGTTCAAGAGTCCTGTACACGTGATACCTCGTTTAATGCAAGCCGTGAGAAGCTCCTGGTCCTTGGTAGGGGCGGTCAAGGCAGACTCAGCCACCGCTTGAGCAAGAGCTATCGCCAAACAATTGCCGTTCGCTGGAGTGTTTATTTCCCGAAGTCCCAGAATACTCACAAGCTCGCCCATGTGGATGGGTTCCGCTAACGGCTTAGGATCCATGGGTATCGAGTGACATTGCCGATCCGGCAGCAGCTTTAAAAGCTTTTCGCAAGTCAGACGTTCCCGTCGCTGCTGGGTCAGGAGAGCCGGACCCGCGATAACTACCGCCGGGCCCCGAATACCGGCTGCTTGTTTCCGGGCCTGATCCTCCGGCAGAAGCCGAGAGTGGGACAGCCGTGCCGAAAAAGCAGGAGTCGAGGAGCCTCCAGTCCCCGGCTGCGGAGGTGCAGAGGCGACACTGCCTTCAAATGGGGAAGACGGACCCTCCTCTGCCCTATCATCCTCCTGGAGAACGTGATAACTCCCGCTGCTGACGTTCAGCTGAGGCGGGGAAGGCTGAACTGGGGGCCAAGGCCGACGACCCCCTCGAAGGGGGCGTCTCATCCATGGCTGTTCGGGCCGGGGTTTTGGGGCCGGAGGAGGCGGGCCCGCGTGCGCGACATGAGTAGTATACACCGATTGGATAGGTATACCTGTTGGCTGGGGCTCGGCGGCCGGCGGTGGACTGGAAGTGGCGACCAGTACCGCCGGAGTCACCGCAGCTTGAGCCGCTGCATCGGCTGATTGCTGCACAACCAGTCGTCGCTGCGCCATTTGCCGCATTTCATCAGGGCTACTAAACGGTTTGGCCAGATCTTCAACAGCTAAAAGCTCGGCTTCGTGGACCTCCAGCCCGCCCGGCCCCCGCAACTGCGCATCAGTAAACTGACACCTCGACGCCGGGTGGCCCTAGCGTACCACATTGCAAACATTGGAGGCGACGGCCCACGTCCGGATGCCGGACGATAATGGGGGTCCCAAACCAAAGCAGTCTGACTACTCCTTGGAGAAAGGTCGGGCAACCCGCCAGATGAAAGGTGACTTTCCAGGCAGTGGACGTACGTGAGTTCGGGGTGCAGGTATCCATATCCTCCAGCTCAAAATCCGTTGGTATCTTGGAGCGGAGGTAGGCAGCAATGCGCCCAATATCATCAAACCGGGTGAGATTATACAGCAAAATGGTGTACGCTGCCCGAGGGTGGCTCGACCGCCCGTCTGGTCCCCGCTGATTCAACCAGACCGAGCCCCTGACCGGGTGATGAACATTCTCGAGCGTGTACGCCCTCCCCTGAAAAGGCACTACGACATCCTGGTGCGCCTTAGCAATGGCTCGCGTAAAGAAATAGAAGTGGATTGAACGGGTAGAACGATTGTAGCTTATCGTCTTGGCCAACCCGAGGAAACGGTGAAGATCCGGCAAGCAGACCCGCAAGATTTCCGCCGATTCCAAAATCTTCTCCGTAATAGCGTGGGTCGTCCGGCGTCCAATTGGGATATCACGACCATGTCTAAGTTGTAAGACTAACTGTCCCTCGACCTGCGCCTGAACAGTCCGACACAACCGAAGCCGCTCGTCGCTGTCGAAGACAGAATTGAGAAAATCAGGCAGCCGACGACAGGCAATAAGCCCTTCCGCAATCCCAATGATGATGCGCCATTCATCATCTGTACCCTCGCGCAGACGGTGAGTACCTGTCAAGTTAAGGCGCGTTGCGCAAATGGCTCGGAGCGTGGTCGTCTCTTCCTCCGAAAAATGTGCCGGATCAAACATAAAGTCATCGAACACGGGACGCTGCTGGCCTGTCGTACTGGCAGGTGCAGCAGCACTGCCTGTCTGCACGACTTGAGACCACAGCCGCGGGATTGGAGCCACAGCCCATTTCTGTCGGCTGGCCAGCTTGCGCAAGATTTCTTTGAACGCCCACTTCGTGACGAGGATCTCCTTACTGATCTGGTGGGCTAAACGGGTCCAGTCGACGTAGCGGCCGGATGTCACAACAAAACATTGCTTAAACAAATCCAGCAAACTCACCAGCTCGGTACTTGTGAGCTTGGGATACCGTTTGCGTTCGGCCGGCAACGCGTCGAAGCTGACTGGAAGGCGGGCAAATTCCAGCGCAAATAACTCCTGGATGGTCTGGCGCCAGACATCTAGGTACGGGGGCCCCGAAGAAGCCTTCATCGCCGCGGTAAGGGCCTCAAACATGTCGCGCGGATGAACTGGGGGCGTGAAAGCCTGCGAAGGCGACGAGGAGGACTCGGAACCCTCCCCCGAAGCGCGCCCGGTGGGTCCGTCTTGCCGCGGCGTTACTGCATCTGTCTTGCCGCTACGCAGCGGCTGGTCTGCCATGGTGAAGGAAGCATCCCCTGCCAAGCCTGACTCCCTAGCCACTGAGGGGGTCGGCATCTGAGAGTCCGCGAGAGGAGAAGATACGGCGTGCCCTGGAACCCCTGTCCCGTGAGCAGAAGATGCGGCGTGTACTGGAGCCCCTGTCCCGTGAGCAGCAGATGCGGCGTGTGCTTGAGCCCTTGCCCCGTTTGCAGAGGATGAGGGGCTACCAGCGGAGAGAGAAGGAGCCTTCTCCGGAGGCCCCGCGTCCTCCGGTAAGTCGAGGGCCGGGCTAGAGTTTCCCAAGTCGTCCGGCTGGCCCCTTGGCAAAGCCGCGTCCCCCCCCCTGTCGGGAGGGGGGCATGGTGGCGGCTCCAGAGCCGTCGTTCGAGAAAAGCTGGCTAACGCCAGTTCGTGTACTGTTTATACTCCCCCACCCAGCACTGCAGATTGAAGAGTGACGTTGTCGAGGCATCTGCCCAGGCTTTGGTCCAGAGAGCGAAGTCGACGGCTGGAGCCAGTCAGCAGGTGTGCCGTCCACTCACGTACGTACAGTTGGACCTTATGAAGCGTATAAGAAGTAGGAGTGCAGTAGGAAGAAGTCGCACGACGTTCTTGGCATGTAGGTCGAGATGGTCGCCGCCGTTTCGTGCTTGTCATTTGTGCTGCAAGCTGCTTTCGTTCCTGTTGGTCAAGTCGAGCGCGACTGGGACTGCAGCGAACGTTCCGATGGTAATGTATCAGCAGATGATGAGGAAACGAACGGATGAATATGATTGTAATAGTCACGGCGAAAGCGATAAGGTTCGAGTGCGTTGGGATCACTGATGCAGGAGGAAAAAAAGCGGTCGGTCGACTTGTGCGCCATCGACGGCGATGGCTACGGTCGCTTGTGCTTCCAGCGGCGCTTTTTTACAACGTGACGCAGGCACGAAGATGACACATTTGCCGAGCGAAAGGCGCGACATCGTCCAAAAGACAAGGCTAGAGCCAGGACTATGATCTGGGAGAGCCGGAAGCGTGTGCTAACACTTCAACGGTCAGCCGCTCACTCTGGTCCGTGACTCAGTTCATAAACCATCATCATCATCATGATGGCCCCCTTGAGGTTACACTCACGCGATCCTTTCGCTACGAAAGCATCGGAAAACGAATGCTTCAGGGTTCTTAACGTAGTAAAGTGTCGCGTGTTGCGGTCATCCGAAGCACGTGTAGAAAGAGAGCTGTACACAAGCGCCGGCTATGCGCTCCGAACGCCCTGTCGGGGACGTTGCGTTGGACGACACTACGTGAGGTTGGAAAGAGAGCCCGACACGCCGGTAGTTCTCTGGTGCCGCGATAGGCTCCGCGTTACTCACGGCGTGACATCGATCAGTGTGCGAGCATCTCGCGTATTTGTGCACTGTCAGTCTCTATGAGACGTCTGTGAGAGGCCACGGGATCGAGTCGCGACTGCAACGCACGCATACTTTTTATTTAAATCGCCGTCATATTTGCACTTTTATGTGTCGTCCGTTAGTCCTTTCGTTAATGCATGCAATGACGGATTTTCGACCGAACGTAACGTGGGCGTCCAGCTCGACAAAACCTACCACGCTCGTCCTGTCTGCTCGAGCGGCTGGCAGCCCCTCGTCGCGACGACCGAACGGTCGTAGACCTAATTGTCACCCTCGTGTGGACCAAGTGCTCGTCAGCTCTTGTTGAAGTTGATGGCACACACACGCGACTTGCCTCACGGAGTCGGGCGCGCTCATTCTTACGGTTTTTAATGAGCAAATGTCGTCGTGTGACACGACGCGTATTGATCTCATTTCTGCTCCCTGGAGATCATCAATCATTTCGTGTACGTGATTGCAGTGAGGACAGGGCTAGCGACGACTGACAAGAATAACGACGCGTTCGACGGATCCGTTTTTTTTCCAGCGCATTTTACAATACGCCACCTAAAACTCATGTCATCTGCCTACTCCAAGCACCTGCACAGGTATTGGTAAGATGATACTGTCTTGCTAATGCTAGTACATGCAAATGATGCGAGCCATACACGCTTGCAATCACTATGTACTCTCGTCACGTTGTCCTGGTCACATCAGGCGATGTTGAGACCGAACCCGTGCAGCATCAAGTACAAAACGTGTGGACAGGCGAGCTTGACGTCGAACGACGTGGAAGCGGCTTGGTGTGCAGGCTTATCACAGCGTACGTCCCCCGTCTCCAAGATCTTACGCTAGTATGACGAACGCAACGGACGCCGGGTGGTCGAGCTTAGCGATGTCCAGACTCGTGCTGCTGGTTCGTGCGATCGTTTTGACACAGAAGAATATCCAAGAAGTACTGATCGCCGTAGGGAAGATACTATGATTGTCTTGGCGACTTGGAGCTTTGTAGATCACGCTTGTGGCCTGCGTCGGTCAGGCTGCACCGAATAGCCGCATCGACCAACGCAATCGTCTACTCGTCGTTGAAAGGAGTAATAGTGCACTAACTTGAGATGTCGTGACTAGAACTTGACTGCTACTCTTCAGCACCGAAGGTGAGGAAGGTACGCTGTCTATGAATTGCGTCAGACATGCTACGCGAGAGCGCTACGATTCTGCTGATGGCAGGCATGAAAGTTAATTTGGCGACCTTGAAACACAGTCGTACCACAACTTGCTGCAGACGCGACTGCAACATTGTTGCAAAGGACCAGACTTAGCAAACACATAACCCCGTTGTCGTTATCCAGTGCCGCAGACCCTCGACGTGCTATCGTACCACATTGATCACACGTCTAGGTTTACAGAGAATAAACTGGTGAAAAGCGAAAATAACGACCGACGCCATTCTCCATTGTAATGTCACTCACAGACAGACCGGTTTGAAGAGTTGCGGTTGCTCGACCGCTATGTTGCGCAAGGCCCACTTGCTGATTCTCCGCGCAACATTCGTCTTGATGCAACATTAATTTTGCATAACTTCACGCCGTCCACCAACATGAGTCTGATGCTGCGGGGGACTCAACGCACAGCGTCGACCTTGCGCCGCTGTCACGTGCCACTCCGTGCTACTTTGTCCACGTCTGCAAACTCGTCAGAAGTAGTTCCGTCTACTGCCTCAAGGCACAAGCCCAAGAAGATACTGTCGTTGCAGGCGTCTCCAGCGCAGAACCTGCGCAACGCTTTGGACGCTCTGGACGAGATGATTGAGGAAGCAGATCGCAAGGTCGTGAAGAAGTACCGGCCAAATATGTTTGCAGAGTTCAAGCAACTTAACGACACGGAAGGGAAGGTGCTAGAAGGTGCTGAGGCTCTTGTTGAAGTAAGCAAGGCAACGAATGTTCCGTCGCTCTTGGCGAAAACTCTGGAAGGCAAGAAAGTGGATATACAGAGCTTGGTGCAGAGAGGAAAAGTGACGCTCGTACTTACATCGTTCAAGAACTATGGTCTGAACATGCTACCAGTGTGGCGGGACGGATTTGTCGCTGCTTTGAGCAATCGGCAGGGCCAATTGGACGAACGGGTGCAAACCGTGACGCTTAATGTGATTGAAGAATGGTACATGAACGTCGTGAGTGGCAGTATTGTTAGGGGATTACAGGAGAAGATACCGAAGGAGCTGCATGCGATGACGCTCGCGTATTTCGGCCGCTGTGATGACTTTCGGACGTCTATGGCGTTGGACAACAGTTTTGTGGGCTACGCACACCTTGTGGATGCGAAAGGACGTATGCGATGGATGTAGGTGGATGACGATTGTGGTTTTGAGACGACCGGTTGTACACTAATGTGATATCAATACTTTTTGCTTTGTACGACTAGTGCTGGAGGACCAGCTACGCCAAAGGAGTTGGAGCGATTAACTAAAGTGACGAAGGAATTGCTAGCACAAAGCTCACCGAGTCGTCGTCGATAGGTTGACTAAATCCCTCGCTTGAGACCGTTTTTGCACGATCATATTGTGATGAATATCAGAGTTGGAAATTCATGCCAAGTACAATGTAATGACGAACGTCTAGCGCAAGCAGCTGTAATCTGCTACGAGATCTCAGGACATCGTTCGGCGTCATGAGTCGATGGACTCGTTGATTTTGCTGCAGAGAATGTTGTCAAAGACAATTCAAGCACATGAGAAAACAGGCGCCCAAACGTGACCGCTTAGAACGCTCGGCAAAGTGTTAACTGCAATTCCAGCAGATTAGATTAGGAAAACTAAACATGTGTGCGGTATGCTCAGCTGCTGCATTGTTTTACAGTTTGTTTGCTCATTGCTGAGAGTGATACCGACCCCAGTGGCCGAGTGGTAGACCACTGGAACTGGGACCGGGAGGTATCTGGATCGATATTTGCTGAGTTCGATTACAGGGCGCCGGAGATAGGCGATATAGTAGACGAGCAAACACGCAGAAGTGGCCGCCCTGCCAACCTACGCAAGGCGTGTGATATTTTGGTGGGCTGGAGGCCCTACTGGCCGAAAAGTTCCATAGTGTAATGAGGGGTGCAGGTCCTGTAAGGAGTTCAAACTGAGTCGGAGTACTCGCAGTTCACCCCAGGGTAATCTGAAGGACCGCGCGGCATAAATCTCTCATTGCTGCGGGTGACGCTAATAGTGCGGGTAACTTTGAATGCACCTACGTTTATTGCTAAATACACCTACAAGATTTATAGGCTATCCATTTCACTTGAATAAATTACTGCACGAATGCCGGGAGAGCATCCGCAATTTAGCAAGAGAACAGCCATATTAGCAAGAGAACGTCCACTATTCAGTCAGGCCTCTCTTTCCTCCTCCGAGATTTTCCCGTCTGCATGACTATGAGCCATCATGTCTTTACCTCTGGCGGTGCAGCTCACGATGTTGAGCTTTCAGATGCTCATGTGTCGGTCTCCTTTTTCTGGTTTTAATACTGCTAGTAATGTAGCTGCATACACCGATGATGACACTACTCATGCTGTCAATTCTTATGCCCCGGCTCCAACACGGAGTGGAGGAGTTGTGAAGACCCCTCCTGGTTGGGCCGTTCGAAAGTCAAGAGGAACTTGTCCGTGAAGCAGTTAGCTTTGCACCAAGGTTTCTCGGTTAGCTTTTTCCACACATGATAGTGCGGCATCAAGCGCGTTTTTCTTTGTTGCTTATAGGTAAAGTATTATCAATATTTTCATCGGCGGTTGGTGTCGTTGCTAGACCACGGAACTAAAGCCGTTGCAGTTCGTGTGAGATCGTGATCACCTTTAACAATAGCTTTTTAAAAATGACCCGGTTGACTCTTAAACGGCTTATACTGTCGACACGTCCGGCGCATAAACGATGTTAAGCTCGCGGCACGCACAACGTGTGCTACGAGAAGGAGGATATACGAAGGCCACAATTGTCCACATACATCAAATTGTAGTTGCTGCATATTAATGTGCGCATATATCACAATGTAATGATACACGTAGCACGTGCCTTACCTTTTGTGTACTTCAGCTTGTACTGGACCACTTAAAGAAGACGAGCATTATTACAAGAGCAAGCAACCACTTCCAATAAGCTATGTTGAAGGGTCCGTGAGTGGGAACGACTGCAGAGTCTTCACCGATCGTACAAGGCTTCATCTCCATCCATTTTGGTATAGGAGCTTCCGTCATTATCACGACACGCCCTTGTGCTCGCTAATGGACAACGCAATAACGAACACTGGAAGGTTGTAAAATCTGCTGAATGAAGGAGGTCAGTGTAATGTTAAATTAACGGAGGGGGGCTTCAATGTATGTGGATGTTCTCTTGCTAAGTTGCGGCTGCTCTCTTGTTAGATTGTGGATGCTCTCTCGGCATTCATTGCAATAGTTTATCTAAGCGAAATGGATAGCCTGTAAATCGTTCAGGTGTACTTGGCAACAAATGTAGGTGCATGTAGAGTTACCCTATTTGTACGTGTCATGGCAAGTTACAACTTCTTCGCTTTCTTCATGTTTGTAATCGGCAGGTGCACGCATCATCCAGCACTAATCTATACATTGTCGAACAAATGCAGCGGCGATAGTACATTTACTGTATTGCGCACCCGCTGTCACTATGCTAACCTAATGGCTACGACCATTCTGTTCCTGCCATGGCCATGCTACCTTGGTGGTATAGAGCAAGACCATTGCTGGAGGGACACGTCACCACCCTCCCCTGCATGCCGTTCGTTCGAAGACGTGGTTTGCACGTCGACTTATCGAGAACAACTGCATCATATACGGCGCTGATGGAGCTTTGCAAAGATTCGAAGCGACCACGAATAGTCACTCCTCAGATGGTCACACCAATAGATACATTCGTGAATCACCTGATTATAGTGTGATACGTTCCGCGGTCTTATGCAGTTGCCCCCTAGGAAGAGCGACATCCAGATGGTGCCCATCGCTATGTGCAAAAAGGTATGCCTGTCTCCTCTGCTTCTACAAATGGTATGGTGGAAACGTGACTGAACCTTGAGGGGATTTGCAGTCATGTCCGCATCATACTTTTTCTAAGATACGTGTTTGAGTCACATGTCCATTCGCAAGCCCTTCTTGTAGACAAGGTTTCTATCTTTTTTCATCGTACGCTATTGAACAAAACACGTACGTATGGTCCTCACATGTTGCAATATCGCCTTCAAGCCTGCGAGCATGCTTACGTGTTCTTGAGTCTGACGAATATGAACCGTGAGCCGCTTGTCAACTCACTTTACCAGTAGCCGCCAGAAATATGCCCCCAGTATGTCACTCCACGCACTGAATGGTTTCTGGTCTTTCCTGAAGCCGGCAGACGCAACCGCCTGGGTGCAACAGACTCGTTTACGGCGTCAATTAATTGCATTGCCTATTTTTTGGACGGCGCCGGGAGGCTAACTTTATTTTATTGCACACACATCTTTCTTACAAGATAGCTGCATGGCCACATCATCTCCAGTACAAACAAAGGTTGGCAATTGTGGCAGGAGCGTGTGTTGAAGTAACGTAGAGGCGTAATGCACGTGAGCCGCAGCCCATACGATGTATAGCACGACCTTTGTCATAGAACGGGAAACTGTGGGTCAACAATGTCTACAAAGCTGTATCGCATTGTCACCACCCGAACGATATGTAAAAAGCAACAAAGTAAAGAGCGGCTATTCGGGTACGCAGGTCACTTGAGCGTTGCTATCCGATTCACTGCGCAAAGCGTAACGAGAATCGGGCTTTGCGCGAGAGCAACTGGAGACTTGAAATCGCTTAGGTAAGCAATGCTGGCGACCGTCAAAACGCAGCGAATAATGACGTAGTATAAATTTAAATGTTATTCGAAGGCTTCTTTCAGAACATCAGTATTTGTTATCAGGTAGAGGAAAACCGCCATCACTGCAGCGTCGAGTGCTAACGTGGTAATAAGCACAGTTCACCTCGTTTGACCAGACCAAAGGATTATACCGGGAAGTTAGCTTCTATCCTTATTCGATTTTGAGCGAGTCCTGATATCTCAGCTGTCGGCAGGTTACGATCGCAACAACAGGGTGCACAACAATGCTTGCGAGCTAACAACTGGAGACGTACTACTGCCATAGACAAATACAACTCGGATCCACCCTCGAAAGCCGAACTTTGCGGTTGTCTTGTTGTAGCTTCGGTAGCAGACAGATGACACTTGCTCTTGTCGATTTGTCGTTCTTGTCTGTTTCGCCTTCCGATCAGAAGGATTTTGTCTCTCCATGCTGTTTGGATTTGTAACGGGGTTGCACGAAATCATAATACTTTGTACCAGAGGTGTTACACACCTGAGGGTTCGCTTCTGTGAAGGTGATATAGAATATCTTATCGGTTTGTAGGGGCTGACGAGTGTCAGCCATTAGGTACGAAAGATCTTTGAGTAGGATTAAGATATTCTATAGGCTTTAACAAAAATAAAATCAGTTCCCATTTTGATCTGAAAGACACGTGGCTTGCGAGCCGTCTTGATCGTTGATCTCTGATCACTAAGAGTTAGCGACACCTCCTTGAGGTAGCTACTCTTGAGTACTAAGTGCTGTCGATGCACTGAATCGTTAGGTCCCCTGGAACAGGGATCTGAAGCTATAAAGCTTGTTGACTCGTAAAGTCGTTAGTTCTTTAGAACTAAGTTGCTCGTAGAGCGTTAAGTCTTCCTCTGACTTAAGGAGCTGTGTAGCTCCGCTACACTTGGTAGCACTTGTAGTCAATCTACGCTTGATTCTTTAAGACTGATCCTCTGTGAGGATGGAAAACTCCACTCCCCTATCTGAGGCCCAAAAGATCGCGCTTGATAAGCTGACCACATCTTTGGGTCCAGAGTATGTGGAGTTCCTTGTTTCACAAGGTCCTGAAGTGCTTAATGCACGTGTTAAAAGCTTCATGCAGTATGAAGCGACCCTTTTAGGGCAGGTCCAAGACCAAATAGCGTCGGCTATGCCTACACGATACGTGTCTGTACCAGACGAAGAGGCCAAGCTTCGTCCACTTAGAGTGGAAGTAAAAAACTACTCCGGTAAGGAGGGTGAGAACCTCATCCTCTGGATCCGTGAGATCGATATGGCCATGAGATCAGGTCTGATCACGCTTGACCATCAACAGGTCTCGCTGGCTATCTCGAAGCTCGATGGTAGAGCTAGAGAATGAGCCTTGACGTGTAGCACGTCGGTGGACATAGCGTTTCCCACATGGGAGTCGCTCAAGTTACAATTGGTACAGGTGTTTTCTCCACCTAACCAGGCTTACCGCGTGCGCTCACGCTTTCTTTCTACCCTCCAGGGTAAGAATGAATTTATCGGACTATGTCCAAGAGCTGCGAACGCTCATGGCTGCAATACAGTCTGACCCTTTGCCTGAAGCAGTCCATGTGACTATCTTCATGGAAGGTCTACGTACTGGCATTGCCAGAACCGAAGTTTTTCGGGTTCACCCCTCTACGTTAAAAGAGGCTGTGAGAATTGCTCTTTATGCTGAGCACAACTTCAAGTCGGCCAGACTTGGTTGGAACGGATACAATCCTCGCTCTGTGAGAGCAAACTATTCGGGTACCACTGCCTATAATAGGCCGGAACCGATGGATCTCAGCTATGCTGAAGATGGAGGTGAAGCTGAGCTTCAAGCTGCTGAGCAGAAACACGTTGTAAGACGATGCTTTACGTGCGGAAGCACTAAACACTTGCGGCCTGGTTGCCCTTTGCGTAAGCAACGCCAGACTACGAGCCAACACTCGAGCCCGAGTCAGAAGTCTGGCATGGCACGGGGAAATGCCGACACCCAGTAGGCGCGGGGCGCCCTACTGGGGAAGAACTATGTCCTGTTACACCTTTAGAAGGTAAAGGAATGCAGGGCTTAGCCCCAAAGAGTACCATACCTACGGGTATGGTGCGTGGATACAAGTCTGGCTTGTTGGTCGCCGAGGCGAAAATTAAGGGCTTCGAGAAGCCTTGGTCGATATTGATCGATTCTGGAGCGTCTTGCAATTATGCTCGACGCCGTTCCCTTGAGGGAAGTCAGCGTTATGCTGAGGCGCTTACAGCGCATGAGGGTGATTCTATCACGGTTCGTTTAGCGACTGGAAGTCGCGTAACGGTGCCTAAAGTTCCATTGAACTTAGGTATAAAGTTTTTAGACTTTGACAGTATTGAGCGCTGTCTTGTCCTAGATTTGGACTCGAGATATGATCTCATCCTAGGTATGGCTTGGCTTGAGCGCCATGAGCCATGGATTGATTGGAGGTATAAGACCTTAGGCGCTACGCGCAATGTTCCTAGCGAAGCTTTGGAGAGTCATGAACCCACCTTTGCTAGGCAGCAGAAGCGCTATTGGCGCAAGCCTTTGACAGAAGATGTCAATGTGCTGGATATTGGAATGTCTGAGTTATCTAACTCCAATGTTACAAACATAAGTTTCGAGCTTAGCTCGTCTAGTGAAACGGCACGTACTCCGTTGAGTGGTACTCGTTGTGATAACGAGTCACTGCATGCTGAAAGCATGGTTGGCCTAGGGCCGAGTGATCAAGGACGTGATTCCTTTGATGTGTGTATGGTGGCACGTGAAACTACACCGAGTGAGGTCGGCCGTGAGAGCACCGCACTGAATGTCGGTAATGACATTTTTGGCGATACGCCATTTAGTGTGGGCGGCCGTGAAGGCACCACGCTTAACGTCGGTATTGGCGTTGTTGGCGATTCGCCATATAGTGTGGGCGGCCGTGTTGGCACCACACCTAATGTCAGTAATGATACTGTGGGCGATACGCCGTATAGTGTGGGCGGCCGTGATGGCACCAAGCTTAACGCCGGTAATGGCGTTGTTGGCGATACGCCGTATAGTGTGGACGGCCGTGAGGGCACCACGCTTAACGCCGGTAATGGCGTTGTTGGCGATACGCCGTATAGTGTGGGCGGCCGTGTTGGCACCACACCTAATGTCAGTAATGATACTGTGGGCGATACGCCGTATAGTGTGGACGGCCGTGAGGGCACCACACCTAATGTCGGTCAAGACAAAAGCTCTCGTATAGAGCGTACTATGGCTGGTAGTAACCATGGGGACAATATTGTCCCGACCCCTAAGGGGTGTAAGGTCTCGAAGAGACAATCGAGACGCCGAGTAGCAGCTGTAAAGCGCCAGGCGTCCTCACAGTCACATAGTGAGATTAGCAATACACTATATACACTTGTTAATGGAGTGACTGGTCAGGTTAATGGCAATGTGAGCCTCGAAACCCTTCCATCTGTGGACGCTCTGTGTGAGCTAGACGAAATGTCTGATGGCGAGTTTAGCCAGGCCTTGAAGGCAGGAGAGTTATCCGAGTTAGCAATCATTAGACCTGATACTGACTTAAATTCTTCCTCGTTAATGGATGAGTCTGTCCTAGAGGATACAAAGGCGGCACTTAGTGCACGAAGTGGATCTTCGAATCTTAAAGATCCTTTGGATCCGTTCTATCCTTTAGTTAAGGAATTTCAAGATGTGGTGTGTCACAACCCACCTTCTGCCTTACCTCCCGATAGAGGTGTACGTCATGAGATTGACTTGGTTCCTGGAACTAAATACTGTGTAACACGGCAGTGGCCTTTGCCTAAAGAACAGTGCGACGTCATTGACGATTTCTTTCGTGCTAAGCACGCGGCTGGAATGGTTCGTGAGAGTAAATCTCCCCATTCAACACCGACATTTTGTGTCAGAAAGCCAAATGGCAAGTGGCGTATTGTGCATGCTTGTAATAAGCTTAATGCAGCCACTATACCGGCGCAGACGCCTATTCCTAGAAAGGATGTTCTTCAGAACAATATGGCGGGATGTACACTGTACAGTGCACTCGACTTAGTCGATGGTTATTACCAACTGCTCATGCGAGCAAGTGATATTCCGCTAACAGCGGTGAGTACTCCGAGCGGTATGCTTTGGGAGTGGCTCGTTATGCCACAAGGGCTATCTAACGCCCCGGCTACATTTAACCGGTTGGTAACGCAACTATTCAGACCTCATCGAGGCTATGCACAAAAGTACTTTGATGACATTTTTGTCCATAGTCGTGCAATGAATGGGCGATCAGATGTGGACAATCACATCGATCATTTACGAGCGGTGCTCGGGTGTATGCGGATGAATAAGCTGTATGCGAACGCATCGAAGTGCATCTTTGGTGCAGAAGAGATTCCCTTTCTAGGGTGCTTCATTGGGAAGCGAGGCCTTCGAGCGGATCCCGCTAAGGTAAAAGCCATAGTCGATTGGCCAGTCCCCAAGAACCAAAAGGACTTGCGTAAGTGGCTTGGCCTTGCCAATTACTTACATAAGTACAGTGCAAATTACGCAGATATGGCTCGGCCATTGTCCAATCTCCTTAAAAAGGATGTGGGTTGGTGTGTTGGGGTAACACCGAACATGATGCGTTTGAAGCAGTTAAGGAGAGTCTCCTTCATGCGCCAATATTGGCTTTGCCCGATTCTGGTCGGCCTTTCAGTGTCGTCTGTGACGCATCTGACTTTGCCATAGGCAGTGCTCTGTTACAAACAGATGTCGACGGACGCGAACGCGTCATCGCATTTGAATCTCGACAGCTGAAAGCTGCTGAAAAGAACTATCCTGTTCATGACAAAGAGCTACTTGCTATGAAGTACGCTCTAGTCAAATTAAGAGTACATCTGCTTGGCTCAAAGCCGTTTGTGGTCTATACAGATCATGCGTCATTACGCACTGCGACACAGTCGCCTCATCTCTCACAGAGAATGGCTCGTTGGCTTTCATTCTTTGCCGAATATAACTTCGAGGTAAAGTACAAGCCAGGTAAGCAAAACGCTTTGGCTGATGCGCTATCGCGTCGACCTGACTATGAGCTTGCTCATGTTACGACCCTGTCGTCGTCAGTCCCTGACTTAATTCGTGCGGCATATGCCAAGGACGATCAGTGTGTAGCTTTGCTACGTGCTCTTGGGAGCGATGAGTTTAAAGACTCGGACATAGAATTATCGGCACGTTTACGTGCGAGGCTACATCGATATTCCATCGATAATGGCCTGTTGTGCTATCGCACGGATATTGAGGACAACCCTCTTATCGTAGTACCTCATGATGAGGAATTAAAGTATCGGATCCTCTATGAGGCACATGATACTGCTTTAAGTGGTCATCTCGGTCGTGAGAAGACTTATAGCTCGGTGAGCCAAAGTTATTGGTGGCCCAAACTTTATAAGTGGGTGCGCACCTATGTGCGTACGTGTGAAACGTGTCAACGGGTAAAACCCTCGGCACATGCGGCGGCGCCGCTGGCTAGTTTGCCGGTACCCACTGGTTGTTGGGAGTCCATGAGCATGGATTTTGTGTTTGGCCTACCGAAAGATTCGGAAGGCAACACTGGTATTGTGGTCTTTGTTGACCGATTGAGCAAGATGGCTCACTTAGCGTCTGTGCCGGATAGCATTGATGCTGAAGGTACAGAAAAGCTGTTTATCGACCGTGTCTTTCGCCAACATGGCTTGCCTGTGGCAATTATCTCTGATAGAGACCCCCGCTTCACTGGGAAGTTTTGGAAGTCTATCTTCAAGGTGCTTGGCACTCGGTTGGACATATCCACAGCGGATCATCCGCAGACCGACGGTCAAACTGAGCGTGTAAACCGCGTCATCAACGACATTTTGCGCAGTGTTTGCGCTGATACGCCTAGGCGTTGGAGCTCAATACTCCCTGTTGTTGAGTTTGCGTTGAATAACGCTGTTCATGCCTCAACAGGCTTTACTCCGTTCTATATAAACGGTCTCACTCACCCTCGCGTTCCGTTAACGCTATCACTACGTGAATCAGGGCTTGGTGGGGGAGAGGTTGCCGATCGGCTTGCTGATATCAGCCCTGCTACTGTTCAAAAACAGGTAAGCGAGTTTCTCGCACCGCGATTAAATGTCTTAAGACATGTGCGTGACGCAATGGCTGATAGCCAAGATACCCAAAAACAACAAGCTGATGCCAAAGGCAGAAATTGTATTGAACGTTATGAGGTCGGAGACCAAGTACTACTCAATGCTAAAAATCTACCTCCAAGTGTAGTGTCTGCTGTCTTTAAGACAAAGTTGCGTCCACGCTTTATTGGACCGTTTACGGTCACGGCCAAGAAGGGACTTGCGTATACGCTAAACCTCCCGCGCAAATTGCGCACACATCCAGTGTTCTACGTAGGCTTACTTAAGCCGTACCGGGATCCTTCCCATGTGAACTTGGAGGCGCTTGCGCCGACGACAAGGGCACTGCCCCGGATTGCTGTAGACGAATCAGCAAGTCCAACTGAGCCTCGCTCCGAGTTTGAGCTTGCTCCATCGCCTGAAGGCGGCTTTGCATCGCATCCAGCATGCACTGGGACTTACCCAAGGCCTCTTGAAGACCCTTCACTTCGAGAACCAATTTCTCGTGGGCCTCCACCGGTACACCGGCCGCCACCGACTTTGCTCGATGAGCATGGGTGTCGTCAATTTTATGTCGAGAGACTACTGAAACGACGTCGTCGTCAGGGCCAATACCAGTATCTGGTAAAGTGGCGTGGGTACCCTGAGTCTGAAAACTCATGGGAATTTGAGGTACCTCTTCGGCAAGACTGCCCATATGCTTTGGAGGCTTTTGAGCATCGTGGACATGGTCGTCTCGAGGTCGAGGCCGTTCACCACCACTAGTGGTGCGGGTTAACGGGTTGTTGGTCACAGACTGACCAGCACTCGCGGCTAACTTAGTAGCCGAAGCATAGCGCGTGCGCTTGCGCAATTGGCCTCTGGCCTTAAGCTTGGCATAATCATACCGAAGCTTGCGTTCGAGACGCACATCCGCCGCATGGGCACTAGCCCTTAGAGCAAAAATGTTGCTGAGGCGACGCAAATAGTGCACCCAGTGAACAAAGGCATCGTCTTCTTCACTCGCTGTTTCGCCTGCGAACAAGAGAATGGTTATACCCTTGATCGGTGGAACCGGTGCACTACGTGCATGCATGTCAAGGCGTGCCTTGTATTGACTTTGAGTCGTTAGGTGCGGCATCAGGTACCTCTCGCAAAGTGCCTGGCAGCTCATAACCTCCTCAGGAGTCTTAGGCCCATGGCCAATGACCCACGTTGCCAATGTTTGGCCGGCCGCTTGACGCAGACGTTCCTCCACACCGGGTGGGGTGAACACATAATCACGCTGGCGTTCAAGGGTTGCAGTCATCTGTGCATAATGCTGAGCGTTTTCTTCTCTTTGAACAAGCAGTTGTTGTTGCTCATCGAGCGGGTTCGTGATGATAGTCTCATCAGAACCAGATGCTGCATGCTGCGCTGGCGGCGCGCTCGCACCTCCACGTTCAGCGAACGGATTTGGGGCGTTCGAAAGTTGTGCCTCAGGCATCAGTGAGCCGGACGTTGTCCCTGTGTCACCGCGGACACTGGTATCGCTACCATAGTCCACCTCCTCCTCTATTCCGAGGTAGTCACACAAAGCCTTTGACTCGTTTGGTGATGAGGACAACGTGCTGGAGCGTACGTTACCGTGAGGTTCACCGTACGCGCACTGTTCTCGCTGACAACACAAGTTCGATTGACGTTTTGGCAAACGTCAGTCTGGTGGGGGAGGGTGTAACGGGGTTGCACGAAATCATAATACTTTGTACCAGAGGTGTTACACACCTGAGGGTTCGCTTCTGTGAAGGTGATATAGAATATCTTATCGGTTTGTAGGGGCTGACGAGTGTCAGCCATTAGGTACGAAAGATCTTTGAGTAGGATTAAGATATTCTATAGGCTTTAACAAAAATAAAATCAGTTCCCATTATGATCTGAAGGACACGTGGCTTGCGAGCCGTCTTGATCGTTGATCTCTGATCACTAAGAGTTAGCGACACCTCCTTGAGGTAGCTACTCTTGAGTACTAAGTGCTGTCGATACACTGAATCGTTAGGTCCCCTGGAACAGGGATCTGAAGCTATAAAGCTTGTTGACTCGTAAAGTCGTTAGTTCTTTAGAACTAAGTTGCTCGTAGAGCGTTAAGTCTTCCTCTGACTTAAGGAGCTGTGTAGCTCCGCTACAGGATTAATCTGGCAAAAGCGCAAATGAAACGGAGTTACACGCGGTCATGTTGTGTGTCCACACCAAGTCGAGATTGGTGGATCTGAATAGTTCAGTATTGATACCATGTACTT